GACGCTAAGGGCCAGGGATATGAAGGGCCTGAAACTCCAGGCCAGAGACCGGACCCTTCGGAAATGGAAGGACGAGTTGTCCGACCCGAGGGTGTCCGGTCCCAGGACGGCCCCTGCTTGTCTGAGGTGACGGGCAGGAGGGGACGTGGAATGTCATTCCATCTGGTGCAGATGCTGACCGGGCATGGTTGCTTCGGTCGGTATCTGCACCAGATAAGAAAGGAGCTCACCACTCGGTGCCACGACTGCCCCGTTCTCGAGGACACGGCGCATCACACCTTGTCCGCATGCTCGGCATGGGACGAGGAGCGCCGTGTCCTCGAGGGGGCGGTGAAGTACCGAAGGGGGAACTCTCGCTCCCGCACATGGTCAAGGCCATGTGCGGGAGCGAGGAAGTGTGGGACGCAGCGGCCTCTTTCTGTCAGGAGGTAATCTCGCAGGAGGCTGCGGAGTGGAGACGCCGAACAGGAGTGCGTCGCAGGAGGCGACGCACCGGTCGGCGATCCCCGGGAGGAAGGGTCGGCAGCGGACCCGAGGTGGCGTCGGCCGAGGATGACTCGCCCGTCGATAGCGACGGGTCGGGGACTCCTCGGCCGCCTCGGGCCCGGCACCGTCCGGGTGGGGGGGACTAGGTTTCCCTGGTCGCCCCCGCGCGGTCGGATAAGCAGGGAAAAGGGGGGGCGGTGTCCCGGTTGGGGCCGGGCCCGCTCCCCCAAACCCCCTCTTTTTTTAAGGGGGGAAGGGTAAAGGAGGGAGGGTGGATATCCCCCTCCTCCTAATAGGTGTGACCAGAAGGCCAACCGGTGGGGCAACTCACCGGGGACCGCGCCTTGGACTCCCTTAGTGGGACAGGGTGCGGTACATTGATGGCGTGGGGCTCCCGGAGAGCCCTGGGGCCGGGGGGCTGGGGAGGGAATGCGGGAGCAGTTCCCCCATCTCCCCACCCAACGGCCCGACAGGTAGATATCCCGCAGGGGTTTTAGTCGGTAAGAGTCCGACATAACCCCCTCCCCCCCAAGGGGAGGGGGTATCCATGATGGATTTCCCCTGCGTCACCAAAAAAAAAAGGTAATTGGAGCTCTACTGTTCTGGAGCTACCAGGAAATCTGAGGATATAATGGAGCTGGATTATTAGACCTGCCTGAAGGATTCTTAAAACTAAAACCTATTCTGGAGCGTCAGCTATAACAAGGTGGCCTAGCTTGGGGCTCGACAATGCGCGGAGCTGCCAAGACAAGGGCTCAATGATGCGTGGAGCTTCCAGATCCTAAGTCTACTTCCTGCAAGGAGGAGCTCTCCCGTGGGGAGCTACCGATAGGTAATTCGCACGGACATTCTGGGGCTCATCTGCGGTGGAGCTACCAAGGATTCATGGAAGTTTGAAGTGATTTAATGAAAATGGAACCTATTCTTAATTGAACAATATTCAATAGCTACAATTTTATCATTAAATCTGGTGTAATGCGATTTTATATAAATATTGTGCGCGTTAGTGTGTCAAAATGGTGTATTAAATTTTGAATTACTGAACGTTTACGATATCTTTCTATTGTCTCAACTAGGTTGACTGAATGCCTGTCACAACTCGAATAACCATTACGCTGTTTATCCGTAATGCAAAGTTTTATTAGGTGCACAACTAAGTTCCCGCTGTTTTTCAAGAGATGGCTCCAGTAGTAAGTGTTGGTCGATTGTGACATAACCAAAACGTCATGAACCAAGCTTAGACATATGGTAAACAAACCGCTTTGACACATTAGTGATTTTGTTTTTGCGTCATATACTTTTGGTTGTGTGAAAATGTCTGATTTTGTGCCAAATAATCGTCATTTGCGGGAAGTGTTGCTTTTCTTCTTTCATTCGAAGAAAACGGCGGCTGAAGCGCATCGAGAACTCCAAAAAGTTTACGGAGATGCTGCTCTAAGTGAAACAACGTGCCGTGATTGGTTCCGTCGCTTCAAAGACGGTGATTTCGATGTTGACGACCGTTCGCGTGAAGGAAGGCCAAAAACCTTCGAAGACGCTGAATTGGAGGCATTGCTCGATGAGGATCCGTGCCAAACGCAAAAAGAGCTTGCTTCAGCATTAGGAGTTACCCGCCAAGCCATTTCCAAACGATTGCATGCGTTGGGAATGATTCAAAAACAAGGAACTTGGGTTCCTTATGATTTGAAGCCAAGAGACGTTGAGCGTCGTTTTTCGCCTGTGAACAACTGCTCCAGTGGCAAAAAAAGAAGGGTTTTCTTCATCGCATCGTTACGGGTGATGAAAAATGGATTCATTACAGCAACCCAAAGAGAACAAAATCATGGGGACTGCCCGGTCATGCTTCTACATCGTCGGCTCGGCCGAATATTCACGCTGCGAAGGTTTTGCTGTGTATTTGGTGGGACCAGGGCGGTGTTATTTATTACGAGCTGTTGAAATCGAACGAAACCATCACTGGTGAACGGTATCGAACTCAATTGATGCGATTGAGCCGAGCACTGCGCGAAAAGCGGCCACAATACGAGCAGAGGCACGAAAAAGTGATTCTACAGCATGACAACGCTCGGCCTCACGTTGCCAAACCCGTTAAAACCTACTTAGAAACGTTCAAATGGGAAGTCCTACTCCACCCGCTATATTCCCCAGATATTGCGCCGTCCGATTATTATTTGTTCCGTTCGATGGCACATGGTCTGGCTAATCAGCAGTTCCGCTCATATGAAGACATCTCAAATGGCTTGATTCGTGGATAGCCTCAAACGATTAACGATGGCGGCTTAGAATGGTTGCACATGAGAGTACGTGAAGGCAAGTCCTGGGGCGTGATACCGGAGTCTTATAATGTTGTTCAAAAATGACTGCTTAGTAGAGTTTCTCAAGTTCGACTGGTTTCTTAGCTTGCCCGTAACCGGCCCTCTAGGCTCCCCGAGATCGACTGACTCGTCGGGCTCTCCAGGATCAACTCGTTGGCTCTGGAGAGTAGCTATGGTGTGGGAAAGGCCGTGGTGGGGATTAAAAGTGGGAACGGATGTTTGGAAGTGATCGTAACTGCCTTCAGTGTATTTGTCCTTCACGTATTCTCTTACATATAATTTTCACGCTCCGCGCATATTTATATTATCGATCGAGAGTTCTTAGAAATAGTGTTTACAAGAAGTACTTTATTTTAGGCTTATTTATCATGCGATGCGCCGTTACGGCTATTTGTTAATAAGTAAAATTTTACTTTGGATTGATTGGTTAATGGATTTTTGTAATTTTCAGGGTTTGGCGGGGCCCTATTGAGGACAGTATTTATTTGGTCTTAAATGACATCATTGGTGTTAGATGATTGTTAACTTAATTTTTGTAAGTAGGATTTTTCAATCATGGTGCTTTTCCCGATAGTTCTTTTCAAGATCTTTCTAAAATAATATAGTAATGTTGCTTTGATTAAGTATTTTTCGAATTATATGTATAAAATTGCAAAAGTCGCGCTATTGTTCAAGACGGTATTTTGCCAAGTCGGTTATGTGAGCTAGTGTAATGAATTTATTTCTATGAGTAGTGGAGGGTGTATTTTCTCTGATAAGACAGAATAATAAGGAAAAAAGAAGAAAAGAAAAGAGAAAAAGGGAAGAGGAAAAATTAAAATTTAATAAAAATGAAAACAATTAAAGAAAAATTAATTAAGGTTTCGATGAATTTAATTGAGATTAGGGAAGGTTAATAAAGGTTAACAAAAGTTAATAAATGGAAGAAAATTATTTAACTAATCTCGCCTATAACAGATGATTCTTATAGTTCCGATATATTAGTATTTCATAGAGAAGTATAATTGTATGTGTTGTGTTGTGTCTTGGTTTTATAATTAATTTGTTATAATTTTTTGCAATTAATTTTTATAGGTGGTTTAATGATTTCTCTTGCGCGTATTTGATTCTCTGGGCAATACGGAATATAGTGATAAAATTGTAAATTCTGTCTTGACTGGTTAAGTGGTTATTTATTCAATAATTAGTCTGTGTGTAATTTTAGGCAAATCGTGAGGTATGAGCAAATTTTGGGTTCTAAGAAAAAGTTTTTAGTGACAAAGGAACACTCTAGACTTATTATAATTGTTATGAATAATGACATTGAATTTTTAAACAATAACGGAATATATTAATTTTATCCTTTAGTAATTATGTTCAAGTGTTTTTATTGTAATATGGGTCTGCGGCGATTTAATTGTTATTTGCCCGATTTTTTAAATAAACGAATTAAAATATTGTATTAAACTAATTTTTAATCGTGGGGGTACCATATTGAAAGTGTCCGATACATTTTTAGCGATAGTGAAAATCCAAAATTATTTTACAAAATTAGTTTGTTTATGCACAATTTTGTAATTTTCGTGTATTTGGGGTTGCGTTAATGTTGTTTCTGAAGGTTTGAATAGTAGCAAAATAGTTATTTCCCTATTTTAATCAATTTAGTAATTATGACATTATTGATAATTATTTACGTATTAGTGTATATCGGTAATGTGTGGATTGCATATGTTATTAATTTTATCGTAGTTTTTTCACGATCTAGTACCATTTAATGAGTTTTGTCCAAATGGCTTCCGCCATTTCGTGTGTCCTAGTTCTATATAGGAATGTGTGTTCGAAGGGTAGTGCATCCAGTTAATATATATAGGTTTATGCCTGTCGGTCTCCATTTTGTACAGATTTCCTGTCAGCTGTCAGCAGGGTTGGATAATATACGCGGCAAGGAGGTATTATACACAATTCTGCGCATAATACGCATAAAATGCAGAAAACGCGCAGAATACGCAGAAAACATGCAGAAAACGCAGAAAACGCAGAAAACCCATGTGATGCCCATTCTAAGGGCGAATTCACACCTTGGAAGAAAAGCGGAAAGCAGAAAGGCAGCAGTCAATGGGTGCGTTCAACGAACTCAATAATTGCACAACAGTTGAGGAATTCGTCGACGTAATTAGTCTAGATTTCGAGATCTAAAAGTAAGGACCAATAATCGCTAATTGTTCACTGAACGCTTTTTTCGCTGAACGCGCCCAATCAGAACTCGCGCTGGTTTCTGCTTTCTTTTACTATATTACCAGCGCGAGTTCTAATTGGCTGCTGCCTTTCTGCTTTCCGCTTTTCTGCCAAAATGTGAATCCGCCCTAACTCTACAATCCTATTTACCGCGCGTGAATTAGATTCATTACCATATCCAGATATCATCTGGATATAAAAAGAAATTAAAAAATGGGAGACAGCGAAGAACTATATTCCCAATTTCATGTTTTTCATGATCATGGGCAAATGTTTGTGCTTTGTCTCATATGCCAAACGGTTATAAAAAGTGATGATGAGAGGTTACAGAAGCATAGGTTTGTATATATCCTGTATATAATTATATTATATTTAAAATTGTATTATATTTTTATTGTAGGGGAGACCGGGGCTGGTTGATACAATTTTTTCCTGCGATTGTTTTACACGAAACTAACAAATGGAATACAAAAACATGTAGCCTGAAATAACTTACTGCAACATCACCGCAATGTTTTTGCGAAAATACTATATTTTTATGCACTATTATCTTTTGTCGTTTTGCAGTAATGTTAAATATAACAACGTGCCCCGTGTATCATTTAATCCCGGTCTCCCCTATTTTTACATTTCAAAACAATATTTGAATCATCTCTTATGTTTAGTTATACTTAAACTAAAAAATATAAATGAAATATTTTAACTTTCAGGATGGTTTGTAATGATAATAAACAAGCAAATAATAATAAGGCTAAAAAACGGAAAGTCACCAAGAGCAATACAACTAATGTAAGTCAACTCATGTATTTCAAATTAGGCTTTAACTACAATCTAAATATTAAATTTCAAATGAAATATGTTTATGTCTTTTTGTAGATGCACTCATCATTCAACGATACAGCCCAGACTGCGTCGGATAATGTGCAAAAATCTTCTAACGACGGCCTCAATACTATTGACGAAGCATTGGCCAAATTTTTTTTCGGTTGTAATATATCGTTTTTTGTCGTAGAACCGGTACATTTTAAAAATTTTATATCTATTTTAAATCCGACTTATAAACTGCCGACAAGGAAGACTTTATCTACAAGTATCTTGGATAAATTTCATACAAAGATGATTGCCGCTAGAAAAGAGTCTTTGAAGAATACAGAATCTGTACTTTTAATCGATGGCTGGAAAAATTCCTCTGCCAATACAAAAAATATTGTTTGCGTTTTATACAATGCGAGCAAAAAGCAACAAGTTTTTCTAGAGTCCTACGACATTTCTGGCCTCCAAGAAACTGCAATAGCTTTAAAAAAGGTAGTTAACGAAGTAACTGAACTAGCTATGGACTTGTATGGCACGACTATATACGCTGTTGTTTCTGATAATGTCTCGTCAATGATTGCCATGGGAAAGTCTATTGACTTATGGCATACCACTTGCAATAGTCACAGTGCCAATCTTTTAGCTAAATTTTTAGTACAGAAGAGCTTCGCAATTAAAGTTAATGCTTTATTAAAAGAATTTAAAAATCCGAATTTAGAAGTCGAACTAATAAAGAGGGGTGGATCAAAAATTGTTTTAGCATATGAAACACGCTGGTGTAGTCATCGTGATTCGTTCAAATGTGCATTGAAAAATTTAGATATTATGCGAACAGTCGTACAAGAGAAGCAAATAAAGTTTAACAACGAAAGTGATGCATTGCTTCAGAGTTCAGAATTTGAAACAAATCTACAGGATTATATTTTGATATTCGATCCAGTTTGTGAATTGGTAAACAAATGTCAAAGATCATCATCGAATATTGCTGATGCAGTTGAGTATTGGCTAACGCTAAATCTTTCTACTGATAATGATAATTATAACACACTTCTAGAAGCTCGCATACAAAAAGCGACAAAACCCATTTGTTTTGCAGCTAACTTCTTACATCCAATGTATCAAGGCCAAAGATTATCATATGATCAACGTGAATGGTCAATTAATTTTATTAAAGTACATTCAAATGAAATAAGTGTAAAAGAATTAGAAACATTCCAGGCTAAAACAGGATTTTTTGAAAAAATATTTACTAAGAATATAAAAGATCCACATATATTTTGGTCTACATAAAAAAACCATGTCCCTCATTTATCTAAACTGGCAATTAAATTATTCGACATACCAGCATCAACCGCAGAATTAGAACGTTTGTTTTCATATTGGGGATACGTACACTCAGAGATAAGAAATCGGTTGACAGCAAAACGTTCCAAAGCTTTAGTTGATATATACTACACATTAAGATTTGAAGATAATTGTGACTTTAATGCATTTATTATTTAAGTATATGGCTAAGAATCAACTTGGCTTATCACAACCGAATGTATACTTTTTTTATTTCTTTTATTTAAACATTCTTTAGTAATATGTAAAATTCATCCTTAAAATTTCCATGCAAGTAATTATTTTACTGGTTATAGAAGTCTTTCTTAAAAAACTGGAAACAATTCTGTATAACCATTTAGATGGTAAATAAAGAATGTGAACGTTTTTATGATCTTTGATCTTTAAATATAGAACTTATATGTAAAAAATATTTATAATGATAGGTATATGACATTAATAGATTCCAGGATTATAAAAGAATTATATTTTAAGTTATAATTGTATTCGTATATTTTACTAAAATATACATTCTTTTGGTGATAACGGTTTATAAACAAGCAAGTAATAATTATTTCGTAAAATTAAAATTAATTATAATTATTATTAATTAAAAATATTATAGCAATATTTTTGGTTTGATGATCTGCACGTCAGTTCCAGAATTATATATAAATTATATGATATAATACTTCAAAATAATAAAATCGCATCTAATATCTGCTACGTAACATATATTGCTTAAGAAATATGATAACCCTTAAATTTTATGGATCATAGACTTTTAATACAGCTACAGACTATTAAGAGAGAGCTTAAGTGATTTCACAAAAATTTGGATTTATTTTTTGATATCTGATCCACAAACACCGAAAAATAATGGCTGTGAAAAATATAGTTCTTTGTATATAATTCGAACTATTTCAATTAATTTGGCAGGTATTGAACAAAATCTCAGGCACGAGGAGCTTTTTGTATTTGATTCACACCGCGTCCGGCGTCCGACATACGACGATCCGATATCCAGTAGAAAACTTAACATTTTAGGATTACTAGCTAGTAACAGTATTTTCTCTAGAAAACAAATTCTCTTATTGGATATCGGATATCGTATGTCGGACGCCGGACGCGGTGTGAATCCTCCGATTAATATATAATAATTAATAATCCTGTAATTCGATTTTTTTGTGAAACGTACTTTAGTACCCCCTTAATATACATTCCAATACTTTTATTTGATTTTATATCGCCTGTAAATCTTTTCTATAAACTCTTTTCTTTCTAAACAAAATATAATCATTTCGTCCCATAAAAATATTGGGAGCTTCAAAAATCTTCAATATTCTTTGGTAACTTATTTATATGTTAAAAATGTGTAATACTTTATTATACTTCGTATAAACTGTGAAATAAAAAACAAAAAACGTTGACCTGTTGTAGGATATTAATTTTTAGAGTATGATACAGTTCATTAACTTTCTTTGATTGTCCTTCATCAAAATTGATGCTACAGTTTGAAATTGGTAGCAACATTTGATTCGTGAAAGGTGGAATACTCAATAAGTTTAACGCAATATCTTGCAGCAGCGATTGCTTATTTGCAAAATTAGGCCAAAATAAAATAGGATTATCAGTAATTTTGATTAATTTCTTAAAATATTCCGAATTTCCAGCATATTCTGTGAATACTCGCAAACTTTCTTCTCCTGTAATATTGTCACAAATGAATTCTCTAATTTGTGTCATATATTTATCGTTATAATTAAGTAATGCACGTCCCTTATACTTCGGATGAAGAAAATGTGCTGTTGCAAAAAGAGGCGTCATAAAATTTTTAATCTTGAGATCAATAATAACTTTATACTCTTCTCTTTCAGTTTTATTATATAGTTGTATCCACTTTTCAACCATATCAGCAATTGTTGATTCGGGATTTTCAAGTTGTTCGGTTAGTTCGTATATTGTGATTGAAAATTTCAAAAATTGCGTCAGTTGTGCTCTAAAATCATTATCGAATAACAATTGCACATCTTCTGAAAAATGATAATCGTTCTCATCTGATCTTATCTGACGCATAAACTTGTAATTCGATGAACATGTTGTAATTAAGTTGTGGTTTGTATCCCAATCGTTATCACTAAAACCAATATTTTTGGTTCCATCTCGCAAAATCAAATCCGTCTGAATGTCTGGTCTTTCAAATTGTTCTTGTAAGAGCTTTACTTTATTGATAAATGTAGTATCAGTAAGTGCTTCTTTTAATGAATTTATACTTACGATGGTCCGATAAGTACTTAGCCTACAAAACAAAAACGAAAATTTTGGAAAAGTGGCGATTTATTTCTCAACATAGTCTCCTTTTAGCTCGATGCACTTGACCCAGCGATGCTCCAACTTCTTTAACTCATCTGAAAAATACGTTTTCTCGAGGTCTGCAAAGTAGGCCTCCGTGGCGGCGATGACCTCCTCATTTGACTCAAATTTCTGCCCGGCGAGTGACTTTTTCAAGTTTGGAAACAAAAAGAAGTCGCACGGGGCCAAATCTGGAGAATACGGTGGATGGGGCAGCAGTTCGTAGCCCAATTCGACCAATTTGACCGTGGCGAGGGCGGAGGTGTGAGCCGGTGCGTTGTCATGGTGGAAGAGCACTTTTTTCTTCGCCAAATGGGGCCGTTTTTTCTGCAATTCAGCGTCGAATCGACCCAATAATTCGGCATAGTACAGCCCTGTGACCGTTTTGCCCTTCACCAGGTAGTCGATGTAGATCACACCTTGTGAATCCCAGAAAACGGTGGCCATCACCTTTCCGGCTGATAGGATAGTCTTCGTTTTCTTCGGAGCACGTTCGCCGGGTGAAGTCCACTGTTTCGACTGTTCCTTGGTCTCTGGTGTGTACCAGTGGATCCATGTTTCGTCGACGGTCACGAAACGACGCAGAAACTCCTTCGGATTGCGCTTAAACAGCGTCAAACACTGCTCTAAAGTGGTCTCACGGTTGCGCTTGTTGTCCGGAGTGAGCAAACGCGGCACCCATCGCGCCGACAGCTTTCTCATGCCCAAAATTTCATGCAGGATATGACCCACGCGGTCTCTTGAGATGCCTACTGTCTCAGCTATCTCGCGCACCTTCAATCGGCGGTCTGCCAATACAAGATCGTGGATTTTTGTTATGTTATCCTTCGTGGTAGCCGTTTTCGGGACACCTGGACGTGGCTCATCAAAAACCGACGTGCGACCACGTTGAAACTCGTTAAACCAATTTTTGACGGTCGCCATCGAAGGAGAAGAGTCACCGTACACAGCATCCAAGCGCTCTTTGATTTCGCTGCGCGATTTCCCTTCCAAAAGCAAGAATCGAATCACCGACCGATATTGCTCTTTTTCCATTTTTCTAAAATCCGCGGACACGCCCGCTTCCACACGCGGTCAAAACAAAACTACGAGTCTGATTCGGCTGAAATTTCGACAGTAGCCGTCTACGAGAATGTACTACACGATAGTAAATTTCTCTTGCGATAGTGGCGCCATCGGGCGGTGAAGCTAAGTACTTATCGGACCGTCCTCGTATAAGATTACTTTTTATGTACCAGAACTTCGGGTTAAGATTTTTATCTTCAATATAAAAGCAATCAAAGTCGGAAACCACTGCAAATATTGGATTTTGATTTTTTCCATTTACTTTTTCTACAGAAGTATAAATAAAATCAAACATCTTTTCTTGAATATTTTCGGAGGTTTCATTCACGTCGATTATGTCAACAAATGTATACTTCGCATTCGTATTACCGGTTTATGAAAGATTATACTAATGAAACTTGGCTTATTATTTAAGCAATTGCGGTTTCGAGTTATTAATAATATTCCTGTATTTTTGTTAGATAATTGTGTTAGAATCCATTTATCGTAAACTCGATTTAACCAAATAGAATTCAGTACCTCAGTAGAGGGTAAAATATAGGCCGGTCGCAATACTTTAGTAAAATTTTGAAAAAACGGATTGTTTACCGTATTGAATGGTAAGTTACTTGATAATAACCATTCGGTTAAAGATTCATCAATTTTCAATTTATCTTTTTTCAAAACTTTGTCTAGAAAATTTTCAATTTTTGTACTCTTCTTAGGTTTCTTTGACACTACTGCAGAGAATTTAGGTTGAACATCTTTTGCTGGCAAAATCTGATTGGTGTCTATCGAATGTAGCACATCAGATGTAGCACTTTCTGCGATCTATAAAACAGTTTAAAGATTTTTTATTAGTATTTGTAATATATGTTGTTTCGACATATTTGACTAAGTATATATAGCAATACCAATATACATTTGCCCGCAACAACATCATATTCGCCTAATAATTTCTTATTGCCTAATAATTCATCTTCATTTTTACCATCGATGCTGCTATAACTTCTTTTTTTCCCAAGATCATTTTCATTAATGTCATTGCTGTTCGTTGAACACTTTACTCTATATAAAAGTAACACAGTGCTATTTAAAATGCTATTCAATAAATGCACTAAAATATCTTAAGCAGTTAGATTATTATTATGAAAAGAAAACAAGAGAAAAGATACCTATTGAATTTATTCTGTATAACTTAAAGTTTTGATTTATGTCAAGATTTATTAGTGTTTCTGTGCCATAACAGTTCACAATATGGTAATTTATTAATAAATAATGGAATTACTTTGACTATTGTACGTACCGATGAGTTTTCAGGCGTTTTACTGCAGTAGTGCACAACCTTGTATTGCATAATTTGCAAATTACAAAATATTTTCCATTTTCTCTGACCCTGATAAATTTACCTTCAATATAATAATCATGAGAAGGTGTTCCTCCTGTATTTGACATTTTCACTAAAAAATAATAACAAACATGCTGTTTTTTTACAGAATTTTAACAGAGTTATTATATTAATATTATATATTAACAGAGAATTTAACAAAGAGAACAGTGCACTCAGAATTTGTCCAAGTTATTGCGGAACGAATTTCGCTCTGAGAACTCATCATGCAAAATTTAGTCGGAACGGTATCAATTTTGACACTAAATAATTTATTTCTCAGGATCTAGATAAGATAATTGGCTCATTCTTTCACGTACATGTCAGGTTTTAAGCGTTCTTTCTGAAAATTTAATTAGTTTTGTCCCCAGTTACTCAGGGAAAATTTCAGCTTAAAAAAGTGACATTCATTGGGTTTGTCGCAACTGTTTCAACATGAAATCTGTACAAGTCTGTAACTTTCGGACTATTTGCTCTACATTAATGATTGTAGGCTCATTAGTTTCGGTTTTTCGTCTACTTGTAGAATTTCTAAGTAGGAATTAGGCCTGACGCTTGGAACATCCTGCACTATACTATAATTGTTGGATTTTTCTTGTCGCTGAGACAATAAGGTTATATATTAGCTTTAGCGTGGTTCCACCGTGTCAGTACATCGGCTTTTTCTTTTTGGAAAACGCGGGAATTACTTATATTAATCTTGTTTGTTACAGAGAATGAACGGGTTGCCGTATTGCACCTAAATATATATATGTATATTTGTATATTATTCTAAATATGTATTTTGTATTCCTTTTTAAAATATACCCAGTGAGCAAAATTAGTGCAAATTGAGCGCAAATTGGCAGCAAGTTCGATCAAAACTTGATGCCAAAACCGTAGCCAACTGTGTCCACTTTAGGCTTGTGTTTTGACATCAAGGCTTGGTGTCGGGTAACTTGTAACAAATTTGCAGCAAAAACCGCGCAAGTTTTGTAGCGCATAACTTTGCACCAAATAGGCACCAAATACCGAGCAACACTTGTGCACAAGACACGAGAACAAATTGGCAGCAAATCCGCAGCAAGCCTTGCACTCAATCAGCTGATCGAGATGGTGGCGACGTGCGTTGGGTTTTAAATCGTTTCTAACTTATAATATATTCTGAAATTTTGATTGAAATTTTTCATTTAAAAAGAGAAAGGTGAATATATAAATAAATATTTGACAAAATAGAAAGTATAATTTATTATATATACATATATATATACATATATACACGCAACGTTACGCCGTGACCATGATGTGTGTGTTGTGTGCGTGTGTGTGTGCGCATGAGAGTATATGTAGTATAAAGCACTATCTCTTTATTTATATATAAGTATATAAATATATACAACTCTCTGTGCTGTTAAATAGAAAAACGAACTTCCCGAAAGGAAAAAAAACTGCAAGAATACGAAAAAATTATTGATATATTATTGAAAGACTCAAATCCTTCAATATTATGCCAATAATTTTTTCGAGTCCCAACAACGACTTGATTCCGGCAATGCCAAATTCCAACGGTGTAGTTTGTGTCCAGCGACGAGTCCTCGCAGTAAAGACAGCATAAGATCGACGTTCAACGGGAGATTCTTCACCTTCCTCTTTATTCGGTTCTCCATTTGCCTCTACAAACAACAAAAATATTTAGCCAAGATAAGTAATTATTCTATGTATTTTATTAGTAGTAATAAATAATATTGTTCAAGTAACAATAACATAAAAATATATTCAAACAAAAGGTTGTTTTTTTTTTAACGAAGTGGGGAAATCCTCATGGACACCCAAGACTATGCAGAGCATGGATGTGTCGGACTCGTACCGGTTAAAACCCCACTCCGGTGCAATTTGACTATTGTGGAAGACCCCGGAATTGTCAAGAAGAGATATACATCGAGGTCGTCCACAGCCCACATAACTCTAGAAAAAAAGGCCACGGACTGCATCCCGTATTGGCCACCTTGCTGCGGAAGCCTCTAAGATGGAGAGAGACATCCCGCGAGGATGGTGCGCACAAGAGTGCAGATACTACACTTCCGGATCTTCCCCCACACCATCCGAAACCAAGAAAAAACCTAAGAAAAAAATATGAGGATAAGTCAATTAGTAAGTACTCAGAAAGTAAAAAAAAGGAAGTAATCTGTGCAACAACAAAAGAAAAATAAAATAAATATAATGTTAAAATAAAATATTGCACACAAAATTGAGTATCTAAATAAAAACATTAGTAATATTGGAATTAGTAATATAAAATAGGAATACTTATCAAAATATTCTCACGAAATTCGCCTGCGCACGCATAGAGAGTCGGGCCCTTGTATCTTCTTCTGCTATATCTTCTCGGCTTATCTGAGTTCAATTTTTATACTAGATGAAACAGATTAGAAGATAAGTTAGAAACATGAAGATGCATATTGCCAGCAAATACAATGTTATATGTAACATATATGTTAGTTATAATTTTCTAGTCAACAATGTAACTATTATATAAGACACTTGTTATTTAACAGTTACATTGTAGAGTAGAAAATTACAACATACAACATATATGTTATATGTAACATTGTGTTTGCTGCATATCTGCATCAATGGAAATTTTCAACTTACATGTTACATTTTTAAGTGCCTGGTTCGTCCATGTTCTCTTCCTCTTCCTCGTTATTCCAAAAATTCTCGTCCGCCCTGTTCCTTGTAACTATTGGACGTGGACCACGCATTCGCTGGCGATATCTCTCCTTCGCTATACGAAGAGCCTCTCTCATCTGCTTCTGGAACTCCGATCTCATAGGTTTGTCGAAGTGGCGATTCCTGCAAATTGCATCTGGAAAACAGACGCAAAGTGTGTGAAAATAACTATACATGTACATTACGGTAAATGGTTTTTCACAAACACATAAAAGATGCTATCATTAATAAATAGAAATTTTTTACCATATATGACTCGTGCCAGTCGAGTGTTATATAATGCTCGGCGTCCTTCTTCGCGGCCGAACCACGTAAAAAATGTTGTCAAGGCGTCGGACACTGCTTCCTTCAGACACAGATGTGTAGCTTCTTTCAAGTTGAAGCCACCAACATAATGAAAATAAGTTACCTGGAAAAAGTTACATTTTAATATAATGCGTAAGCATCATTCGCGTTCTGATTACAGTAATTAATTCTAAGAAAAGTTGTAATCTTACTTACTGCTTCCGAATAATATTGTTCATCTTGATTTTCAAATGCATCTACACTCAAACGCAAAAAACCCGGTACACTCAAAATTTGGGAAAAAATTACAAAATTTCAAATGATCATAACTTGGTAAATAATGAAGATACAAATATGCACAGAAATGCAAAATGAAGCTTGAAACGTCTTCTTTAAGAATATCTGAATGGCAATTATGCTCGGCCATTTTTTTCAAAATGGCGGATGATAAAGTGAGAGGATGCAAAATTGATAATCAAAGATCCGTGTTTGCGATAGTGCATGGTGTGCATCAGGTATCGCAGCGTAATGGGACCAAATGCATATGAAAGTATAGAGTGTTATCTTTAAAATGCTACTTTACCGAGCTCGATGTGATCATTTTTCACTGAGTTGTTTCAAATTTTGCTGAAAATGCAGTTTTCTTGTTAAATTTGCATAATTCAGTGAATAAGTATCGCATCAAGCTCTATAACGAAGTATTTTAAAGAAAACATTCTATACTTTTAGGTACTTTTCGTCCCATTGAGCTGCGACACTTACTTTGCTCCATGCGCCGTCGCACGCTCGAACCTTTTTTTAGCAACTTTTCATGTTCTCCTTTTTATCACCCGCCATTTTGAAAAAATATCGTTGCGCACAATTTCGATAGATCTTTCGAAAAGTACAGTTTCAAAACTTTCAAACCGTTTTTGAAATTTGCTGCTAGGATATTTAGGTGTCGAGATATTCAATTTCGAATTTGCAACAAATGTCGATTCAGCGAGGCTTAAGGGGCTAAGAGGCTCTGCGGTTCGTTTGGCTCTTTCATAATTTCAATAGCCGCGTTCATTATTCTCTATACAATAATTTACACAATTTTGCGAATTGGAAATTTAATTTTTATCAAAAGTTATCATTCTTTACCCTTCAGTTACGCATGATCACTATAGTATACACTTTAGTTCGCGAAGCTGTCCCTAGCTCTCTACCTTCTCCGTACGATTGGCCATTATGGTACACAGGTTGAATATGCTGTTCAGGATCGCGTCTGAGTTCGCGATGACCCGGCGCGCGGGATGCCGAGTCGCTGGACGCCACCTGAACGTCGAAATTCCCTGGCGCTGCTAGTCCACGGAGCCGCCGCGACGCGGCAATCTGGGTTATCGCGCGCGCGAGCCCCTCGGCTCGCACGCGAGTTCGAGCTGCCCAGGGCATATAAGAGTGCCCGCGGAGACGAACAGAGATTGCCTTCGTACAGCTTTTGGCCTTCGTATGGTCCACCGCCGATAGTGGCACTATCTCTTGTACGCTGGACTTCGCGAGTTTGTCAGTACGCCAGGCTTACGTTCTGACTTGACTGAGATTCTATCGGTGCGCCGGGCTTTAACGCCTGGCTTGACTGGATTTTTCTTAAATGTATGTGCCAATACAACAAACAAAGACAAACAATTTTCCTTTTCCGAACGTGTTCACTCCGATAAGCGCTGCCTCATGCGACTTTTCTTTTTCCGTGATCTTTTCCTTTCGAGGCGCGTTGCTTCGTGCAACTTCATCAATTTAAACCATAATTGATTGTTTCGCATCGAAATTATTGCATCGATTATGGCGACGATAAATCCTGAAAAGGCTGCTCAAGTTATTGCTTTAATTGAAGATGGCAGAAGTCGAAGGTACGTTGCTCAGGCACTTGATTTGTCAGTGTCAACTGTGCAACGTGCTTATGCCAGGTACTTACAAACCAATTCTTTCCATAGAAGGCCTAGGGGGACGTCCTTCGGGACGTCCTCGATGTACCAATCACAATGATGACCGATTTATTGTTTCAAATTCGTTAAGAGACAGACATCGAACACCTGTTCAAATTAGAAACAATTCAAGGGATGTCCGCAACATTAATGTATCCGTCAACACCGTTCGGAGAAGATTAAAGGAACAAAATCTGCTTTCGCGCAGGCCAGCAGCTGTACCTTTGCTTAAATGTCACCAGCTCGACTCAATTTTGCAGTTGAGCATAGAGACTGGACTTACGCAGACTGGAGCAAAGTACTCTTTAGCGATGAATCTCGTTTTTGTGTCTATTCTCCAGATGGACGAGAACGAGTTTATCGTCGCGGTGGAGAACGATTTGCAGACTGTACGGTAAGTGAGAGGCATAGCTACAATGGAGGCTCTGTAATGATTTGGGCAGGAATTTCAGCTAATGCTCATACAGATCTGCACTTTTTTTACAAGAATATGAACGCAGATGTATACGTGGAAGACATACTCATTCTGTATGTTGTTCCGTACACATCCTTCATCGGAGAGAACTTCTTGTTAATGCAAGACAATGCTCGACCTCACACTGCGAGAAGAGTGCTTGATTTCTTCGATGAAGTTGGTATAAATCGACTCGATTGGCCAGCAAATAGTCCAGATTTAAATCCAATCGAACACTTATGGGACAACCTCGGCAGGAAAGTACGAAATCACGTACCTGCTCCTCAGTCACTGCGAGAACTGCGAATAATTCTCGAAAACGAATGGAATACAGTTACGTAGGATGAAATTAAAAGACTAATAAGGAGTATGCCTGATCGTATGAATGAGCTAATACGCGCACGAGGCAGTCATACCCACTATTAGTACACACACACTACACACGCAGCAGAGAGGGTTTGGAGTCATTAATTACTGCAGGAGTGACGATCTGCGGGGTCCTTATCTCTGCTGTAACACCACACACACACACACACACACACACACCACAAGGAGGGTGTGAAATCTTGAAATACTGTGGAGCTGACGAACCACGGGGTCCTTATCCTTGTGGTATACAAACACACACACACACGCACACACACACTACATACAATGGGACTTTTCCTACCTGTAAAACTCCATGCGGTTTATATTGGGAAGACTTACAACCATAATTTGAGCTAATGACAGCGGTATCTTAAAACGCAATTCATCTTTATTACGTAATATCGATTACGCAGAATGAAAAACCTAAATTGAATTTTACTTTCATTTCCCTGGCTTTCAAAATAATAAATGCAAATCATTGAATATATTGTGCAGGTTATGTAAATTATTATATAGAGAAACATGAACACAGCTATTGAAACTATGAAAGAGCCAAACGAACCGCAGAGCCTCTTAGCCCCTTAAGCCTCGCTGAATCCACATTTGTTGCAAATTCGAAATTGAATATCTCGACACCTAAATATCCTAGCAGCAAATTTCAAAAACGGTTTGAAAGCTTTGAAACCGTACTTTTCGAAAGATCTATCGAAATTGTGCGCAACGATATTTTTTCAAAATGGCGGGTGATAAAAAGGAGAACATGAAAAGTTGCTAAAACAAGGTTCGAGCGTGCGACGGCGCATGGAGCAAAGTAAGTGTCGCAGCTCAATGGGACGAAAAGTACCTAAAAGTATAGAATGTTTTCTTTAAAATACTTCGTTATAGAGCTTGATGCGATACTTATTCACTGAATTATGCAAATTTAACAAGAAAACCGCATTTTTAGCAAAATTTGGAATAACTCAGTGAAAAATGGTCACATCGAGCTCGGTAAAGTAGCATTGTAAAGATAACACTCTATACTTTCATATACATTTGGTCCCATTACGCTGCGATACCTGATGCACACCATGCACCATCGCAAACACGGATGTTTGATTATCAATTTTGCATCCTCTCACTTTATCATCCGCCATTTTGAAAAAAATGGCCGAGCATAATTGCCATTCAGATATTCTTAAAGAAGACGTTTCAAGCTTCATTTTGCATTTCTGTGCATATTTGTATCTTCATTATTTACCAAGTTATGATCATTTGAAATTTTGTAATTTTTTCCCAAATTTTTAGTGTACCGGGTTTTTTGCGTTTGAGTGTATTTCTTGCAATGTTGTAATTGGTAGTCCATGTGGTTTTCGTGGCACAGAATGGCGCTCTTGGACACATTTTAGAATTTTCTGTTGTTTTTCTTCGATTTTCCTGCAAGCAACAATATGAAATATGATCAGGATATTAAGCATAACGCATTATACGAAGGATATATGCAATACATACTTTATCATCACTTCCACATTGCGTCTTTCTTCTATTCTGCTCAATCGTTCTTCTACCTTGCTGTAATTATACATAAATATTAATGAGTACATCCTATTTACACTGGTAAATTTTCTGCCACTCATTTAGCAGATCCTTATTTTCATTGTACCTGGTATTGGTAGTTTCCTTCTGCATTGGTAGTTTCCTCTGTGCATGATCCATTGTTTGTTCCTGATGTCCACGTTGTTGTTGGTTTCCTACTGCTTGGATGACATTCTGCAACTCAGATAAAGTGTCATTAATGTAATACGTTTTATTACAATCTATACGTTGTGTAAAACTTTGTGTGCTACTGAGTGGCTGTGGGTATGGATATTCTAAATTTGTATATGCTGTGCGTATGTAGTATATCTTGTATGTGGCTGTGTGTGTGAGGTATTATTGTATGGTGCTTGTGTCTGTATGTGTGAGGTATATGTTGTGTCAGAGTCAATGTTAGTAAATGTTTGCATGTTTGCGCATGCTTCTGTATGTGTGCGTGGTGTATTTGTTTGTATTGGTCCTTGTAGGGTGTTTAAAACTATAGAATTCTCTTTTTCCATGATCCTCGATGTTGTTGATGTCATCCTCGGCTGTTCCAGATGTGCATGATGTCGCTGTCCTCCCTTTCCGCTTTGGTGATTCTTCTTCAGACGATGTTGTTTGATACCGTGCTGGTTTGGTAACGTGCCGCTTTTGTCGATTCATGTGTGAATGTAAATATATCAATGATCATTGTTTATCAGCGTAATATCAAACATATTAACATGCTCTGTTACTTTAACACTTAACATTTATGCAATCTAATCTCTATACTTTATCCTCAAAAGCAGATATATGTTTGCGTGTGTGCCATGTTGCAAAGAGACAGTCAAATGCCTATCTTGTTCTACAGTTGCAAATCAAGCACTATATGTGGCACCTGTTTTTGAAAATAAATATTAATGAAACAAATGCATATGTTTTGTGTGTGTGTGTGTGTGTATGTGTGTGTGTGTGTATGTATGTGTGTAGATAAAGGAATGTCCCAGAATGTTTTATTGCTAATAAGTCTTCTCAGCAAACGCACAATCGTTATAAATAATATAACATCAGGAAACAAAATATTAATGTGACGATATACCAAATTGACTTATGAATATAGCAATAATGAATATAGCAAATCTAGAAATCTGCTGTGTATTAACTGCCTATGTGAAATTTTTAGTGACTTCTAGATAACAGTAATGTTAGTTTGCTGAGAAAACTTATTAACAACAGAACATTCTGATGTTATGCACACAAAAAGTACGCACATAAAAAACATGCATTTGTTTCATTAATATTTATTTCTAAGCAGAAGTGCACATATAGTACTTGATTCACAACTGTAGAACAAGACATATGACTGTCTTTCTGTAAGATGGTACACGATCACATACATCTCTGTTTCTAAGAATAAAGTATAGATTTGGATAGCGCTCATAATTTTTTTCCTAAAGCATGAACTTGGAGAAAGTGATAAATTGTACATTAACTTGTCCAGACAACACATAATACTAAAAGATATCTTAAAGATGTGCAAAAGACATCCAAAAAAGATAGAATGTCTTTAAAATATTTAGTTCATAATTTATGTTGTCTAATTATAATGATGTAACTACGCGAAACATGAATTTTTCTTTAACTTTTCATGTGAATTTTTCAAGCATTAAGCTTAATGACGAAAAAGTTCACGTGAAAAGTTGATGAGAAGTTAACGTTTCGCCTTAGGTCGCGCTTTAGGAAAAGACTTATAATCGCAATCTACATTGTGTAAACGTTAAATATGACAGTAACAATAAAACTGATGTTTTTCGTCGGGATATTATTACCCAGACAGCACATGATCTCCTGGGGACGTCCTATGGACGTCCTGAGGATAAAGAAACGTACCTAGGACGTCCTTAAGACGTACTCTGGACATCTGTGCTATTAGGATAATATATGCGTACCTGCATCCTGTATTATAGGCTTCGATTAAGATCGGAAGAAATCGTTGTTTCAACACAAATAATAATACTGATATCTTTCACACACTCTTCAAAAAGTCCTCACTTGCTTCAGTGAATTCACTCCGCTAACAGTCAAACTCGGAATGATTGTAACGTTCAACATGTAGCACGTACGTTACTCAAAATCCAATTAGGAATGTTTGCAAGATGGCGTAACCAATCAAAAATCTCTCCGTTCCCTCCAAACTGCGCGACTGGTGACTTCGTGTTGGAATACTACTACATGACACGATACACGAATGAGTTTATTGCTTTCCGATAGAGCTGTACATGCATTGGATATAACGCGTCGCGAAAGCTGCTTTGCAACTATTGTAAAATTCTTACATTGGATTGGCTTATGCTCTTAGATGCAGTCAAAAATAAGAGCAACACCAGATTCATAAATTTTACAATAGTAGCAAAGCAGCTTTCTCTGCTGAACGCAGCTAATGAAATGCTCCGTACATCATGACGTCCTACACTTATAACGAATTCGGCCGTTTGCATTGGTGCACACTGAGTGCGGTTAAAGCTTTTTCATAGTTCATTTTTTCATTTAAGAACGTCTTAAATACCTCTTCAAATATTTCTTGGCTAGTAAAATGCTCTATATAACATCCGTACGGATTGTTTTGTTGACTAAGAAGTTTATGAAAATATATTTGAGACAATTTTAAATAAGAACTGACTATGAATAAACTTTATGGCTCCCACACACAGGACGCGGCAGCGCGGCAACGCGTTGACCAATCAATATGCTACTTTTCCGTAAGAGCTAGAAGATTATTACGGAAAGCAGCATATTGATTGGTCAACGCATTGCCGCGTCCTGTGTTGGGAGCTATCAATGTACATCAGTGCAAGCGGCTGAATTCGCTATTAGAGAGCCTCAGAGGGAAAGAGTGGCAAACTAGGTTACGTGACCGGTCTCTTCTGATTCATTGGGGGCACATATGCACTCTCGGCCAATCAAAATATCGGTATAGACGGCTACAACATGATCCATTGGAAATAGCCGTTTATACTAATATTTTGATTGTCCGAGATACCCATATAGCAGAAATATCTCGAATATATCATAAGATTATCCTAAAAGTATTTCAATATCTTTAGGATATTCCTATGATATATTCGGGACATTTCTGCTGTGTGGGTATGTGCCTCGAACGAATCAGAAGAGACCGGTCACGTGACCCAGTGTTTGCTACTCTCTCCCTCTGAGGCTCTCTATCTACATTCCTTCCACTTTAGACGGCTTTCGCGGGAAATCAGCAGTATTGCTTGTGTATAGAAGTCTGTAGTGGATCCTGTACTCGACGCATTTGTAAGCTGTGTTTGAAGTACACTGTGTTTATTTGCTTCCTGCTATATCGAGGAAAAAGAAGAAGAGGGAGAAAAGAGAGAGAGAGAAATATTATATTTTGGAACTGCTGCTTTTCTGGATGTTACATTTGGCTCGTACCTACTACAACCTACTACAACCTACTACTACCTACTACAACCAGGTTACGTAAACATGAAACAACATTTAAAATTATCCACTTCGCGTAAAACGCTCCATAAATTGTCCATAAGACAGCGAAATAGGGTGATTCGTGACATCAGGCTCAGATTGCGCATGAAAAATTTTTATGAAACACGTATATGCAACGTGTACACTGTAGTAATAATTCAACATTACAAGATATACCGGGATCATCTGTTGCAGAAAATACGTTTTCAAATAATTTTAATTTTGTTACTAACGATGTCCATAGAATTTCTATGAACGTTGAGGATGATAAGGAATCTTGTTCTTCTTCAACCTCTTCTGATGTTTCTTGTACATCCTTTTCATTTCTTACCAGTTTGTCTGAACCATCGTTCAGTGACAATCTAGCATCTTCTTTTGTTCAGAATAATATAACGCACTCTCAAAGCAATAGTATATTATCTGTTTTAAGATCGCACACTTGCTTTAGTAATTTGCCCAAAGATATTAGGACTCTTCTAGACACACCACGGCATCGTGTCATTCAAAGTGTATCCAAAGTTGAACCAGGGGAATACGTTCATTTTAATCTGGAGGTAGGCATTGTTGAAAGTCTCTCAAATTCTTCTTTTCATTCCATTACTACAGAATTAGAAATTGATATCAATACTGATGGTCAATACTGTACTTTAGATAAGTCATCTACCATTCAAATCTGGCCGATTCAATGTAGATTAATAAACGTGCGAAATGCCAAACCAATTGTTGTAGGAATTTATAAAGATAGACAAAAGCCTAATGATCCTGTTGCTTTTTTTGAAAAATTCATTGCTGATGTTACAGCACTTATATCCAAGGGAGGTGTTCATTTTCGTGGCAGCCTTTTACCAATAAAATTAAGGTCTTTCATAGCTGACGCACCTGCTCGAGCCTTCATTTTAAATCATCGTGGTCATATGTCTTCTCATCCCTGTTCCAAGTGCAAAACTTCTGGGACACTGAGCAATGGTCGTCACGTATTTAATGGTATCCATCATCCTCCTCGTACTGACGAATAGTATAAATTGTATCTCGATGAAGATCATCATAAAGAGGGTACAAGCCCGTTATCTATGTTGCCGATAGAAATAGTTTCTCAAGTGCCCTTCGACATGCATTTAGTATGTTTGGGCGTAATGAAAAAAATATTATCCGTATGGGTACATGGCAAGTATTCACGGTTAGTTAAACTTCCGGCAGTAGCAATTTCCACAATCAGCGCCCGCTTGCTTAATTTACAACAATATTGTCCAACAGATTTTTCAAGACGTCCTAGATCTTTAGATTCATATTCTAAATATAAAGCAACAGAATTTCGTCAATTTCTATTATATACAGGGCCTGTTGTAATGTATGATATTTTAGACGAACAATTATATAAGCACTTCTTGCTTTTACACGCTGCTATAAGGATCTTACTTTTCAAATGTCACTCGCAGAAGCATCTCACGTTCGCGGAACTTGCATTGCAAAAGTTTGTATTTCGTGCTAATACTCTGTTTGGTTCAAATTTTAATAGTTACAATGTTCATGGTCTGCTTCATCTGACAAACGATGTTAGGCGTCTTGGTAGTTTGGAATCATTTTCCGCTTTTCCGTATGAAAACAATATGTCTATTTTCAGAAAATATTGTAGAAAACCAGGCTTACCTTTGCAACAATTTGCTAATAGAATGACAGAAATGCAATATCACGGACGAAATGATACTCTCAATATCGATTCATTCATTCATGTTTCTATGCCATGTAAAAGCAGCGAAAATAGTAATTCTTATAATAAAATTGAATGGAATGGAATACGTCTAAGTACCCGCATGCGAGACAATTGTTGTATTTTGATAGATAGGTCGATTTGTCTTGTCTTCAATATTATTACAGACAACAATTTTTATTGTTTAGCTGTAAAACGTTTTTTAGAAGTGCATAATTTTTATAATGTTGGTCTGCCCTCTTCGGCTTTTCATGTATACAAATATAGTAACATTTGTAGCGACATTGTTATTATTGACATCAAATAAGTTTATGCCAAGGGCTATAGGATGCCTTTATCCGAAAAAGCAGCAGTTGACAGCGACAGTGATGAAGAGGTCCTTACAGGAAATACTAAATATATTGTTGCCGCATTAATTCATATAGAATAGACGTAAGTAGTAAAACTAATAAATTACAGTATATCTTTTGTATACGACGATTGTGAGATTTGTACGAGGAAAGAGATTTTGTGATGATAGAACATTCTATATAACAGTTGTATTGTTGAGTAGAAAATTACGAATAATTACCAGTAACATGTACATTACATACAACATTGTGTTTGCTGGGTAAATGCATCCTCTTGTTTCTAATCTGTTTTCTAATCTGTTTTGTCTAGTATGAAAATTGAGCCCAGATGCCCAGATAAGCGGAGAAGATAAATAAGAAGAAGAAGATACAGAGGCCCGACTCTTTATGCGTGCGCAGGCGAATTTCGTGAAAATATTTTAATAAGTATCCCTATTTTATTTAAATATTACTAATGTTTTTATTTAAGTACTCAATATTTTATTTTAACATTGTATTTATTTTATTTTTCTGTTGTTGCACATATTACTTCCTTTTTTTTTACTTTCTGAGTACTTACTAATTGATTTATCCTCATATTTTTTTTCTTAGGTTTTTTCTTGGTTTTGGATGGTGAGGGGGAGGATCCGGAAGTGTAGTATCTGCACTCACCGAAACTGTTGTACGCACCATCCTTGCGGGATGTCTCTCTCCATCCTAGAGGCTCCCGCAGCAAGGTGGCCAATACGGGATGCAGTCCGTGGCCTTTTTTTTCTATAGTTATGTGGGCTGTGGATGACCTCGATGTATGTCTCTTCTTAACAATTCCGGGGTCTTCCACAATGGTCTAATTGCACCGGAATGGGATTTTAGCCGGTACGAGTCCGACACATCCAGGCTCTGCATAGTTTTGGGTGTCCATGAGGATTTCCCCACTTCGTTAAAAAAAAAAGAACAACTTTTTGTTTGAATATATTTTTATGTTATTGTTACTTGACCAATATTATTTATTACCACTAATAAAATACATAGAATAATTATTTATCTTGGCTAAATATTTTTGCTGTTTGTAGAGGCAAATGGAGAACCGGATAAAGAGGAAGGTGAAGAATCTCTCGTTGGACGTCGATCTCATGCTGCCTTTACTACGAGGAATCGTCGCTCGACACAAACTACACCGTTGGAATCTGGCGTTGCCGGGATCAAGTCGTCATTGGAACCCAACCCTTACGAAAAAATTATTGGCATATTATTGAAGGATTTGAGTCTTTCAATAATATACCAATAATTTTTTCGTATTGCAGTTTTTTTTGCTTTCCGTATTTTATGCCGAATACTTCGATATATAAGTATATAAATATATACAACTCTATGCTGTCTGGATAATTGTATATATTTTTAGTGGCTCTTAAAAAAATATTATAATTGTTTTTAATGATCACCTAACTTGCCCTCGTAATGTTAACATATAAATTATCAGGGCGACGTCGAAATATTCGGCATAAAATAAAAACTAATCTAAGATACGATCGTTTCTCTTATCATAAAATCGTTTAAAATTTCTTACGCGAGAACGCACGAAACAATTTATAAACACGCTGTGTATATATTTAGAACTAAATTTATCATTCCGAAAAAGCGCAAGCCGTTACGTAGTAAGAAGAATGTATTGGGCTCCTTAGAAACATGTATAATCGTCTACAAAGTAGCAGGCATTTGACAAATTCGCGGCACATAATCAATCGTGTATGCTTTACATTTTCGCATTGCTTATGTAAAAACATAGAATTTACTTCTCTTTATCGGTTTACTACGTGGTAATAAGGACGGTAGTAAAGAAAACTTCTGAGCTGTGCATGAGTAATCACAAGTATTAATCTGAATACTCGTTTCTTTCTTTCTTTAACTCAATTTGCCTCTTATTAAATACTGTGTTCTTCGTAACATTCGGAGGAGCAAGGCTAGTAAAATTAAAGCAACAATAAAAAAGTCCCTTTTAATATTTTTTTTATCGTATGAGCTTATCGAATTGAAGCAATAAATATGTGCTTTTAAGTTATAATATAACTTAATTTCTTTCAACGTACTGTTACGTCCTGGAGGAGGAGCGCAACTTGGCGCTTGCTTTCGCAAGCTCCGACGTACTCGCAAGTCAGCGGTACAGATCAAGGATCGGAGCGATCCTTTTATCTGACGCGGACGTACGCCGGTGGTCCTTGATTTAGGTCAAGGAACTGAATCCTTTTACCTGGGATAGGACCGTGAGCGACGGTTGAAGGAAGGGAGAATTTTTGTTGAGAATAATTAGTCGGAAATCGTAATTGGATTGCAATTACAAATAATTTGTTTTATTGATGATTAAGCGGAAGTTTATGAAGGAATAAAATTTGTACGATTTATTTATGTATACATATGTGTTGTGTAATTACATGGGTGTGATGATGTGGTGGGTTCTGGCGAGAATTCTTAATTAGTCCGAGGGATATTCGGATAAGGAAAGATCTTGTGTCGGGGTGGCTGGCGGTGAGGGAGAGGATCGTCGCGAGGACGCCTCTGAGGGAGAAGGAGAATGAATGGGGATGAGCCCTCGAAGTAACGCCGCGTGGAAACCACGTGTGCCCCCTCGTAACGGTGAGGTCGACGGGGAAGGTGTGGGGGATGGACTTCTAAGGAACGGAGAGGTTGTCGGAGATCGGTTCTCAGTGGGACTCAAGGATGTAGGAGAGTAAGATATGGGAGGGGTTTCGGGAGGAGAATCTGGAAGGAATAATAAGCTCGGGATTTTTAGTTCGTCAGGGCGGACAATATAATCCGGACGATCTTGTAATGAAAAATTTATGAAAGCTACTTCTAAATCCTCGCGGTTTTCGTACTCTCCTGCAGTAGTCAGGTCCGTTTGGATTAGATAATTTTGAGCCACTGAGCAATTGTATTTTACAGTTAAGGAGGAATGACAAGGGGAAAAGGAGGTGAAACAAAATTAAAAGAAAAGAGATCACTCAGATGAAAGAAAATATAAATAACTTACTGCTGGACTCTTCTGATCTTAGTAGACAATGAAAGGTGTGGTTGCTGCGTCTCTGTGTGGATAGATGCGTCAAGTTCTGCGCCAAGGACAGGCAGTTGGTTTTGGCAGGATCGCTCTCAATGACCCAAGAAGGTACAAGATCGTTGCACCGAATAATTAACAAGTGAAGAATACTGGTTGGTCTAAGCCACAAGTTGGCTTGATTGTTAAGAAAACCCTGAAGGGGTGCTGGAGAGAAGCGTCTGTCCTGGGTGCTGGATCGGCGAGAAGTATCTGAGGCTTTTGACTTTTCTCAAAAAGTCAGCTCGGTTGAGAGAGTGGGGTTTTTGGGGGAAATGTTCCAGATGATTATTTTATAGGAGATAAGATGCATGTGGCAATAAGAGGATTTCGAAAGACTTTTGTAAATAAAAAAAATCGTGGCAGCTATCTTAAAAAGTAAATATCGATATTTATAAGAACGATGTCGTGATGCTGGCATCAGTGATTAAGTTCGTAGGAAATCAAATAGGGATTAGGTTAAGATTATTAGTATTTTCGGGGTATCAAAATTTCCAGAAATTGTTCGTGTGATAACTTGTGAGATAGGTCGTGTGGTAACACGCCTGAGCGCATTCAGACGTGTAATCAGTAAAAATAAATTCGATTTCTCTTATTTATATAAGAGTTTTGAGGTTCGCTAAGTCAGCATGACGTAACAGTACACTGATAAATGTGTTACTGATAAATGTGTTATGAAAATGTATACTAATAAATGTGTTATGAACAAAATGCTACAAAGTCTTATTAATATTAGCAGTAAAACTTTGACCCTATATATTATTATAAAGTAAAAATGTTAAAATATTAGCTCAAGTTACAACTCTTGTTGCTTTCCAAATCGTTAAATCCATATTTGTGAAGAATTGTAACTTTTACGTTGTAAAGCACTATGTAAAGCGTTATGGTATATAAGAGTTATAAGTTTTAAGTTACAAACGTAAAATTTCAGTCTACTCAAAATATCGATTTAAGATGGTGTGGATATAAGCTATCCAAATCTGTTTGACACAAAATTAATATAGCAATGCGATGCGATGCTGTATGACTCCATGTTAATCTCTCTCTCTCTCTCTCTCTCTCTCTCTCTTATAAAATGCTTATATAACTCAAAAATACCACTCGAATAAATTACGCGATTATTCTATATATTAATACTACCAACTAATAACACGATAAACTTCTTTTCTAACTTTAAGAAATGTTTGAAATGAATTAAAAAATAATGTAGCGAATGTCAATAATTTAGAGTTCAGTTTCAGATGCAAAAAGAATTTATTTCTGAAAAGAAAAGAATTCTGAATAGGAAAAAACTCAGTTGTAAAAAGGATCCTTTTTGTATTTGAAAATGAACTCAAAATTACTGACATTCACTGAATTCATTTTAAACTCTGTGTCATTTGAGTATTGGATATGCGGAAAAACTTAACTTAAAAACTCAACTTTGTCGTACATTGTATTTTGTCTATAACCGTTTTATGTCTATATAAAATGATAGGGACTGTGTGTGTGGGACACTTTATATAACGGCAGCAACCAGTACCAGTTATATATGACTAATAAAATATCGATAGTAAAATGTCAGTTCAAACATGTGCTTTGAGTGCTTGAGTAACGATATAGCATATATATATATATTACATGGTATATGGCACACAAATATTATAGAACATTTACGTATTGTTACATAACGAACCACATGTTTCAACCGGCATTTTATCATCAATCTTATATTACTGATATGTAACAATAATGCTGGTTCGCGAGAAAATAGAGAGATAGTGCTTTGCACTACATATACACTCATGCGCGCACACACATGCACACACACACACACATAATGAGCCGCGGTCACGGCGCGACGTTGCGTGTATATATATATGTATATATAATAAATTACGCTTTCTATTTTGTCAAATATTTATTTATATATTCACTTTTCTCTTTTTAAATGAAAAATTTCAATCAAAATTTCAGAATATATAGGTTAGGAACCATTTAAAACCCAATGCGTCGTCTTCATCTCAATCAGCTGATTGAGTGCAAGGCTTGCTGCAGATTTGCTGCCAATTTGCTCTCGTGTCTTGTGCGCAAGCGTTGCTCGCTATTTGGTGCCCATTTGGTGCAAAGTTATGCGCTGCAAAACTTGCGCGGTTTTTGCTGCAAATTTGCTGCAAGTTGCTCGGCACCAAGCCTTGTTGCATATTTGGTGGCAGTTTGCTAGCAGAATTTGATAACGTAAAGTTTGTTGCAAATTTATTGCCTGTTTGCCATCAACACTTGATGTCAACTCTTGCGCCGAATTTGCTCGCTCAGGTTTGGCTATCTGGGTAGTTATATCTTATGTATGTACAAGTGTGTTACATGGATTTTCCTATTATTAATTCCCTTTGGATTTTGCTTTTTGTTATAATGAATAATCTTTGATAAATCCAATGTAGTTATTAATCATGAATCAACCTCGATAAAAGTTATAGTTCATGCGTGTCTCGGCGTAGGAATTCGTAGCGGAGTGTTTATTTTATCGAAGTTATAAACAGTACCAAGCGATGCCATGAGTAGTATGCGTCAGATCTTTTGCAGCTTAACTTACGTTGGTTTAGTAGGTGAAATATTATAGGATTGTTTGGTCGTTTTATCCGACAATTTGGTTAGTATAAAGATTATTAGCGATATACAATAAATGTTGTAATGTTAGTGCTAGTGAATATTCAATATTAAAAACTACAGGAACAGGTTTTAAATTATACTCGTGATATGGCGTCTGTGGGTGATACATTAGCTTTATGACTGTTACCTACTATGATGTTTCCTCAGTGCTAATAATAATTTTGATATTATTTTATAGTGACAAATTTGGATAAGAATCAAATGGGCGCTAGTGAATTCACCCGGCGGCCGTGGCGCTGTGGCGACGCTACGTAGTTTAAGGTTGTCTCGGCGTACCGGGTTAGGCTTAACGTTATGCTTGTCCCGCCATTTTGTTGTACAGGTGAATATAAAATTTTAAAGTTTTGATCGGTCGCAGTTATTTTTAACATAATTTCCTTGTATTATGCATTCTACTCACGAGCTTAAGAATAAGAATATAAAATATAACTAGGGCTAGTAATAACTATATAAGTTAAGTGATATGTGTAAGTGCATTATGGTTAACGATATTGTATGATTTGATTAATAAGAAAAGTGCATTATATTATGCACTATATGAGGATTTATGCATTATAGAGGGTGTTAAATAAGAACTTGTGACATAATATACAATATATTTTTCAGA